TGATACCTTAGTATCAGGGCAAAGCAGAAAGAAGGTCTGATGGCTATCAAAAGACTCCCACAGATGCCAATGTCTGAGCCCCCGAATGTCTGCTTTGGTAGCATTTCCTGCTGATTTGGCTTTCCACTGAGACACTCGATAGGTTGAAACTGTCTGATTATCTTAGAGAAGTGACCTCCATGATTGCATTTCCAAGAGATTTCTAGAAATGGTGAACTGCACAGGGTAAAGGTGCTGGGAAGGGTAGGATAGAGTTCACATTCACTCAGTTCCCATTCACTGGCAGAAATGATCTAGATGTGATATTTGCTTGGCATCTCAGGAGATCATTATAAAGCCCTGCAAACAAACTAGTTCAAGGAAGAAAGAACTCAGAGAGGATCAGAAATCTGTTCAAGCAAAAAGTGTAGGATATTTTAACTGCACCTTTGGGTCACTTAGAGTTTATGAATTTTATAAGAATATACTGAGACATTTGTGGGCAAATATGACTTTCCAAGACCTACTGTCCAACCTACCAGAGCCTGGTTGGGGTAGAATGAGCAGTGATCATGAAGCAATGGTTGAAGTCATTTTGCACACACATCTGAAAGAGGGCCTTTCTTGACATTCTTCTCTAGGATATTTTCCTTACTGGAAGGAGAAGGCAAAGAAAACCATGTATCCTCTTAGAGACACATGTTCTTATGAACTTGTTTTAGGAGGAAATGTTTGGATACATGGAGTGAGGTAAAAAAAAAAACCCATATCTTGCACTGTGTAAGTGGTCAAAATGTGTTTTGGAAATCCACAGTTATCAGATTTTTATTCCCTCATCTGAGTCATACCTTCCTCAGCCCTTCCTGGATTAAGGTTAAACCATGAGATTTAAGACCCACAGAAAGAGATGGTAGATGTCCGTAGAACAAATTCATTTTGGAAGTTGATGGTGAGGTTGTGTGTTTCAAAGTCAAAACAAAAAGGTTTCCTAAGTTGTTAACTTCCATTCATAGCTCAATATTTAAGCCTGACAAACTACCAAGACAGACTGTCACAGAGGTCTTGGATGCAGGGTACTTGGGTATGAATCAGTGACATCAGCATCCAGTCAGAGAGAAGAGCAGTACTTCAGACAGAGAGCTATCTGTAGATGATGACAGAGAACTAAATTATGGTCTTTCCTGCTTTCTGAAACTTTAGATTCTTATTGCTTATTCAGAATCCAAGGTGTGGAGGGAGGCTCTGAGAACTTAAGTAATGATGAGCTTCCCCAATATGGCCATGGAAGAACTTTATCAGCAATGGAGGTGTTTGCAAACATGAGCCCAAACCAGCAACTGTCAAGGCTGCATGTGCAGGAGACCCAAATGCCTTTGGTTCTCCAGAAGGTTACAGAGGTGCCCAAGGTATCATGGGGATGCAGTGCCTGGGATTCAGGTGAAAAGCTGCTTATTGGATCTCTGCACCCCAAGGGCATGGTGTAAGGGCCAGTAGTAGTAAGTTCATGTCTGATTATTGCACCAGCCAATTCAGAGGAAGGGGCCAGTTCCAGATACCAGGAAACAAAGGGCCCTATTGTGTTCAGGACACAGAGCTTAGCGGGAAGACATAAGTAAGAACCTCCACCCTTTCCCTGTGTGGTGATCTCAATTGGAGAATGAGAAAGAAAAGGGAGAGAAATGGAGAAAAGGTTAAGAAAGTATGAAAATGAGACTGAGATAACCTGAAGGAAATGTTCTAATCAGGCGGAAATAATATAAATTGGTGAATTGATTGCTATCTCCCAAATCAGCATAAGGAAAATACGAGAAGGTTGTAAACATCATCAACCTTCTTCCTCCCTGCTGGGTTGTAGCATGTGCAGGCTACCCTCCTGGACTCACAGGAACATCCCAAAGAGGAACTGTTGGGACCAAGATCTCACCTATCCCCCTATTTACTGCTCTCTAGAGCATGAAGCACAGCTATGTCAGCCTAGACAAAGCGAGTCTCTGTGCACTAGGCCACCTAAACACATGCCTTTCCTTAGTTAGTAAAAGGAGTCTATAGCTTTGAGAAGCCCAATTTAGGAGGTTATAAGCTCATCAGGTCCCATATTCAAGCGGCACTCTTTTCCATAAATTGAACCTGTGGTCCTTCTTAAGATCCAGAAAAGAAAGAAACCATCTACAAAAAGAAGATTATAAAAAAAAAATCTCATGAATATAATATTGTTTGAATGTGGTAACCAGACTTTACATGCCAGAACTGTAAGATAAGTGGGTTGTCCTGGAAAATGTGGTCTTTTTAAAAAGTTGTTTGTGTACAGGGTCCTGAGGACCCCAAATCATGACCTTGGGTTGCAAATGTCAACCTACAGCTTCTCACCCAAATTCCAGGCACTGTATCTGCTCACATCCCCAGCACCTCCTAATCCTCTCAGACACCCTAAAAGGCATTGTGATCCCCTACACACACAGCCTGTGCCAAAAAGTAACACTGGTTTGACTCAGTTTTGCAAATGTCTGCTGTTTTGATGAACCTTACCACGGCCATATTGAGAAGCTTAACATCAGCCAAGGTCTCAGAATCTCCCTCCTTACCTTAGGAGTTTTTACCCTCTTGAGATGAGGCTCCAAGAGGATGGAGAAAGAAGGTTATTTGTTCTCAATTCCTTATAAAGTCCACAGATAAAATAGATGAAGCCCTGTGAAACTGAGTTCATAATACAGTATTGTAGAAGTCAAAATCTGGTCTAGGCTCCACCTTTAGTCCTGGATTCCAATCCTTCCTGTCTGAGTAACTTCTTTCCTGGCTCTCAGCCTCAGCACCTGCCTCATGTCCCCCGAAAGGCACCTCAGTCTTTGAGGTAACGGAAAATGTAGTAGACAACCACCAGCTGTTCCCCCATGATGCAGGCTCCCGGCTCCACGTGGGGGTTATATGGTTTCCCTCTGAGCCTGGTTTCTGTCTGGGAATGGTATGGAACATGCTGAGTGGATCAGCCACCATCAGTATTTGTCCTGAGATCTCCAGGAAATGTAGGTGACATGGAGAGAATCCAGAGTTTTTCAGTAAAGGGAGGGCATACTGGGTCACTGAAAGGGTGACTTGGCCTTGCACGCTCACCACACACACATTCACACACACATACCTCCCCTTGCACACACACAACCCACACATACAGTTTCTGGGCTTTGAGGTCTGAGATGAGCCATCTGGCAGCAACGGCGATGCAGAAGAGCTGGTGAGTTCCAACTTGGCTGTGGCAGCTCCTGAGGCCCCCCAAACAACCCCTTGTTCCCACTGGCTCAGGCAGTGGCCTTGGCCAGTGTCCTCCTTTTCCTCCCTCCCAAGCCCAGGACACACACCAAGGACGGGGAGGAGAGAGTCTTTCCATTGGTGGCCAGGGCTCTTCACTCTGCTACCTCCACCTCCTCGGCATTCAGCTTCTCAGTGCTGAGCACCAGGAAATCATATTTACTGGAAACAAGGAAAACCCAGCTCCCTGACCCAGCCACTTCCTCTCCTCTCTCCTGTGAAGGACCCAGTCTGTGGCACCTGCCCCGTGGAGGTGGGACGGAGCTGGATACAATAATAAAAGCTGGATACAATAATAAAAGCAGTTTTAGGGGCTAAAGAGATCTTTTGCATCCTACTGGCAAAGGAAATCATATGGGAACAATGAAATACAAGTGAAGAAGCTTGGCTGAAGGAAGAACAGAGGGAAGGGAAACTTCCTACTGTGGAAAATGAAATAAAATACTAAGTACATTTCATTGATTCCCTTTAACCTACCCAGGTCACTACTTTCGAACAGATACCAAAGCATTTTAACAACAAAACCTGGAAGGAACTGGAAAGGTTGACTGGAGAGAGGAATTACTTTTTAAAAATGTGGTGGTAGCAGCAGAAGTTTAATAATTACTAAAAAATTTAGTATATGTCGGGGACTATTCTAGCTTTGCTTAGTTAATTAATATGGATAAAATTTTGATACAGTCATTCCATTTATATTCAAATGAGGAATTTTAGGCATAAAGAGATGAAGAATTTTGCCCAAGGTCAGGGAGCTTCCAAGATGCCAATAGACAGTTAACAGCTGCAGACATTAAAAAACACTGTAGTGCGGTGGGAACTTGCTCAGAACATACAGTGAATGAACTGAAAAATACGCTGTGCCTATAAGTATTCTGAAAGTCATGTTATTTTACACGTATCTGCAAATTAAAATCTACACTCACACACCACAACGATGGAGGTTTTTAGTCTTGTAACTTGACTGTGGATATTTTCAATTTGCCTTCGTGCTATTTCTCAGAGTGTCTTTTTGAGCATCTTGTTTGAAACCTTACATTTCATTGCTTCTTATTTTATTTCTTATTTGCACTGTGTTTGTGAAAGATAATAGTTACGTTTACCTTAAGGAAATTGGTGCATGTACCTATTGCATCTTGATCATTTTACTCCCCCGTATCTCCTCCCGGCTCTCTTCTTTCTCTCCATCCTCAGTTCCCTTCCCATCTCCAGAATCTTCCTCCTTGTTTCCTGTCATTTCTTTCATTTTCCTTTTTAATATTTTATATTTTGAGTCTCTCATGTTAAAAAAAATACAATAGTTAACCTTCTGCATCTCCTTTATTTCACTTAGCATTGTGGTGAACATTTTAATTTACCCTTCTGCTGTTACTCTGTTTCTTTAGGGACACCATTACCAGCATATTCTACTTTTCAGCTGCATGAATATGGAACCCTTCTTGTCTTTGTATTTCAGTCTCCTCTTCTATAAAGCACAACTACAGTATGTGGTGAGGTGATGATCAGATGATCAAAAGTTGAAAAACATTTAGTAAAAAGCCTAACCTATAGAAAATTCTTATTAATATTTGCTATTGTACAGGTTGTACTTATTAAACATACAATACATAAAAAGAACATACTGAAAGAAAGAGTTGAAAGGCCTTTCCATAGAAGGAAGGCAACTTTGTGACCTCCTCACATTCATGTCTAATTTCCCTGTGGGCCACAGCCCTATCGTGACATGTGCAGAGCTGTCTGCAGCCCATTCTGAAAGTTTCAGTCACCCAACCACCACTTCTTTCCTCTGCCCCTCCTGGCCACTCCCTTCTGCCACTGTCCAAAGGAGTGCACCCACCAACTCCCTACTCTTGTGCCTTCTCTTCAGGGACACGGCTGAGCACTCAGGATGTCACTGCTGCAAGCAGTCACCTTCTTCTCCTTCTGGACTTGTGAGTCACTTCCTGCCCATTTTGGTCCTCATGAGTGACCAAAGTATCATCGTTGCTTCTTATACTGTTAGAAGTTCACTGAAAATTCTCCTCTTTTATTTGCAGTTGGACTTGGAGTAACAAAAATGGAGCAGTCTCAGGTATCTGTTTCCACAGAAGTAAAGAAAAGTGTTGATTTACATTGCCAGACATGGGATGACCAGTTTGATACTACGACCATTCACTGGTACCTGCAGAAACCAAATCAAGCTTTGGAGCATCTGATTCAAGTAACCACCACAAGAACCCCAACTCGAGCAAAGAACAACAGAGTTTTAGCAAAGAAAGATCCTGCAACTCTCTCCTCAACCCTTACAATAAATTATGTAGAAAAAGAAGATGAGGCGATGTACTACTGTGCTGGGTGGGATGCACAGTGTCTGGATTGTGGAGAGAACCCACACAAGATCCCCTGTCTGGATCTGTGCCCACCCACATCCTTTCCAATAGAGGCGCCCACAGCCAGCTCCCCAGCTGGGCTTCCAGCCTCAGGCGGCTCTTCATAGCTGCCCTGGGCTCTTCCAGAAGCAGTCATAGTTGGTGCTGTCACCCCAGCATGTAATTCCAAATCTCCCTCTGATGCTACTTCCTACTGAGTTCTGTCTGCGGGCTGAGAGGACACAGGTTATGCCACTGTCACCTCAGCAGTATCCAGAGATGCTGGGTAAGTGGCCAAGGGCAGCATAGAGAAGGACTCATGATGATCACTGTCACCACACACAATGAACACATCACATGCAACACCTCTGTGGAAGAATCGTCTCTGGCCTAAGATACAACCAAAGAAGTTGAAGCTTAGAGAACTGAAGCCTAGTGAACAACCCACAACAGGAAGTTATACCTTTTCAATGGGACAATGGGGCCATGCTGAAAAGTTCCAGGATTGTGAGTCTGTAAGTGAGTGCTAGGATATCCGGGCACACTGGGGATGGAGCAGGTACCATTTCTGTAGGAGGGGAGGGGAGGAAGACTCTTTTAATGTAATGTCATCAGAATAGAACTGGCTGGAGCCACTGTGACCATTAAATGTGCCCACAAAACTGCAGTAACAATCTTGACTATCAAAGAATGAAAGATTCTGGTGAGCCAAGGAGAGTTAACTGGTGTGTGTGTGTGTGTATGTGTGCGTGTGTGTATATCTATGTGTGTGTGTGTGTGTGTGTGTGTGTGTGTGTGTGAGAGAGAGAGAGAGAGAGAGAGAGAGAGAGAGAGAGAGAGAGAGAGAGAGAGAGAGGTGTAGGAGTGAGAGGGAGAAGGAGAGAGAATGGAAGAGAGCTCCTCTGAGTATTCTCAATTTATTTCCTGCATCATCTCCTTTAACCTACACTTCCTATGAGGTCTGCTCTGTTATCCTCACCCAGCACATCTGAATCAAGAGGTAAAAGAAGCACTAAGTGGTGGTTCCAGCTCTTGTCCAAGTCTCACAGCTGGTATGTGGTTGGGGGTACAAGAGGACCCAGGCAATGGCTCTTCTTGGCTTTTACACTCAAGTGTTTCCTCATCACTTGATAAAGAACTTGATCAAAAGGGATCAAAGAACAACACATTGTTCTCATCTCACAGATTATTAATAACGATATTCACATAATCTTTCTAAGGAAGGATTTGATAAATATTCAAATGTAAAATTAGTTAAAAGAACCGAATATAAACCATATATGTAAAGACCATTTAAAATGAGAAACACGCAATGATCCAAACACGATACTATATAAATATGAAGAGAAAATGCTAAAAGTAAACGATGAAGATTTCCTTTTTCATCATTGTTTAGTGCATTTGCTTAGATTTTTAGTGAGCATCTGTTACTTACCTGGTTTCTGCAGTTAGGCACAATTGCTGCTGTGTGACTTGGGATATGTCATCTTTGTTCGATTCTTCTGTTATTTCAGAGTGAGCTCTTAATGACTCTAACTCCCTGACTGGTGTGTGCAAAAGTTGCATAGTAAAAGAAAACATTTAGAACAGTGTTAGAGGTGGATATTAGCTGTAACATTATTGTGAAGGCTGATTACCAGAAGTAAAAATAAATATTAGTGTAAAATATCCCTATCTTTTACTCTGTGTGAGAAAGTTCCAAAGGTGTCTCATTTAGTATCAAAAAAGCCTCACAGAGTAGTAATCAGGGGTCCACAAAGAGACACAGAGTTAGAGTTTAGAATAGAACTAGGAGAGTTCAAGCCTCAAACTGAATGACAGGAAAGAAGACACTGGATTCCTACTAGATTCTGACAAGGGAATACCCTACAGCCCTGGAAATCCAGATCATATGGATTTATTAATAAAATTAGAAAATATCACAGTGCAATATAAAGAAAGCTTCATGAAGTATAAAAATCTCAAATATAAATATTAGTTTTGATAGATGAATATTTGAGAAAAGGGAATGAAATTCTCCCAAAATTTAAAAGACTGTTATCTTGAGCGATATAGCTTTTGAATTTCTTCTACATATTTTTCATAATTTTACATTTCTTAAATAGGACACTCTAGTTTTTTTGCGAAAACATATTTTAATGGAGTACATTTTCTTTCGTTGATAATAACAGTAATACTAGGGCTTGATAACATCACTGAAGAGTCATTATGTGTTAGGTGCTAATATCTGAGAATTTTTCTACTACTTTGTAATGGATAATGTGAGCCACCTAATATTTCTAAAAATACATATGTAGATGAGATACACATGTAGAAACTGAGGCCAAAAGAAATTAAATACCTCCTCCAAAGTTCTCTAGGTTAAAGTGGTCTACGAGGACATTTCATTGTCTTTCATCCTTAAAAATAAGGTGTGCATAGATTATTTAATGACTTGCATCAGTGCATTCAATACAGTAGCCAGGGAAAGAGAGTATAAAGCCAACTACGCAAATCCCACTCAAAGATACATGTATGAAATAATATTAAGGAGTCCTGTTTGTATTCTTAGATATATTGAAGAATTCAAGGACCTCTGTGTCATGGACCTCACTTGCCAAATGGAGATGAGCACAACCTGAAAGGGCTGTTGAGAGAACATCTTGCACAATGCCTCAGAAATAGCAAGACTTCAATAACTATAAGATAATGAGTTACTCTTGCAGCTGTTCTTACATATGAAACATAGCATTGATTTGAGCCCACTTTCCCATATGACATGGGTTCATGAGATGATCCCATGGTTCAGGGGGAGTAGAAGGCAATTTTCAACATTGCTTGGTCTCATACCTGCCATCAAATGCGCTCTAGTTCCTCCTTGAGAGACACTCTGGTTATATACTAAATATTATTTCTCTGAGTCACAATCTACTTGGCAATAATAAATTTAAAAAACACAATTCCAGTATTGTGCATTGGGAATGTTAAATAATATCATTAAATACTTCAGCATCTGATTTTTAAAAGTATTATGGAAAAATTAAGCTCAACCTTCTTACCAAATATCTGAATCAATGGCAAAGAAAGATAGTCATGGGGACAGAACAGAGTAGGTATATATTCATAGTTCCTAAGCAATATTTCTCTGGTATGAAATTGCAAGGAGAAAGGATAAGTGAATCCTAGAGCCATTCCTGACACACCCCAGATGAACTTATGCATTCCAGGAATGTGTGAGAAAACAGTTAATACACTAACCTGACTGCCCAGTTCCCAAGCAGCAGAAAACCATAGAACTGTTCCTCACAGCAGCTGATCATAAAAAACCCCAGGAAATCACTAGAGCCCTCGATTTTTCATATGCCCCAGGACAGCCTCACCCTCCTGCCACTAATCTGCGAAAACATTCAAAGTCATCCTTCCAGCTTCTTGAAATCAGCCACACATATTCATTATCTATACTCAGCTTGCTCGTACTGTATTCACAGTACTGGGCACTGGTACACTGCTTTTTTTAGAATATGCAAATAAAGCATTTGTTCTACTGTTCATTTAGTCTGATAATCCCTGTAATCCTCTGAAAGAACCACCCAATATCATATACTCTCACTTGAGATGTACATGCTCTGTCTCTACAAAGCTGGATACTCTGCCTGCCACACCATCTTTCCTGCTCTGTGCAGTGTGAAGCAGTTAAATGGACAGAGTCTGAATCTTGCAAACTGGAACTCAAACCCCTCCTCAATTTGAATTCTGTCACTCAATTTCCTGTTTGATCATTAATAGTTATACAAATGTTTAGGTGGTGTTGAGAGAGAGAAATGCATAGGTGATATCTCATTCATGGTAGGCCCTCTATTGTGAATTTTCTTGCCTTTCATACACAGGACTTCTCATCCTAGAACAGGGAGAAAGGAAATGGGAAAGAGATTTTGGAGCAGAGGATAGTGTGATAATTCCTGAAGAGCGCCTTCCACCCAGAAGTGCCTTCATGCATCTCTGTTCAGGATACATAAACATTTCTTATTTGCCAAAACCAAATATGGGCTCCACTAGACATATTTGCTTGCAGGTGCTGCATAAGTCAAGAAGTATTGGTAACACATGTTAGTCCTTACAAGTGCCCAAAGTGCAGAATATCTCCCATGAAAGTGGAAGATCATCAAATTCAGAACAAAGACAGATGATAAAATAGCTGGAGAAGAGCCTGCTGGAAAGTTAACTGGCCTGACCACTCCCATACGTTGCTCTTCCATTTTTACAAGCAGGCAACTGCTACTTTTCAATGACCAGCAATACTAGTTGTGACCAAACTATGGCACACATGCCATAGTTTTCTCTTGTATTTTGTTAGATAATGTATTTATTTTGCTTAAGACAAGGTCTGTTGATATCTTTTTATTGGAAGTCACTGTAAGTTACATACAAGATTTCAACAATTTCCTTCAGTATTTCTAGAACACAAAGCAAGATGAAAAAAATGAATGTACTACTATTTTGTATCAAGATGGCAAGCAAATCATGAAATGAGCAATGACATACCTTCACATGTTTTGATCATCTAATACCTTTGGTTGTGTTTGTTTAGTAGTGAAAATATCATTGTCAAGCTTGAAAAAATGAGGCAAAACTGTACACAATTAGTTCCAAACTTGTGGTATAGTCATGTGACCTTCTCTTCTATGCAATCATTTATGCATTCCTCCCTTGTTTGTAGTAGAATTTATTTGCTGCCACTGGGCATCTCAAGATCTGCTGCCTGGGAAGTGTGTGTTTATTACATATAGCCTGGTGAGAATCGAAATTATTGATTTTTATGCACATGGCTATGATGTTCCTATTCTTACATAAAATGTGAATCCTGAGTGCCTGAATTTTTGTATTAATTATTGCATTAGGCACTTTCCTTGTCACCGGGACTCAATACTCAACACCAACAAATTAAGGAGGTGAGTTTTATTTTGGCTCATGTTTCTGATTCAGTCCATGCCCTGTAGGCTCAAATACAGAAACC